GATAATGCACCTTGTGTGTAGGGGACCGAGGGCAGCACTGCAGGGGGACACTTGGCATAGCGCCACTGCCATATTGTCTTATTTACAACACTTTTTGGGAAGCTTGTATGGGGAGCAGGGCATGGCCCCAGTGTGACATGTGGTTCCTTGCAGGTGAGAACTGGGTCTGCCGGGCAGTGCTGGGTGAAGGGCACCAGCGCACAGTGCGGAAGGTGGCCTGGTCACTGTGTGGCAACTACCTGGCTTCAGCCAGTTTTGATGCCACCACCTGCATCTGGAAAAAGACGCCTGATGGCTTTGAGGTGAGGTGAGGTGGGGCAGAGAACCGTCCTTTCTTCCCTCCCTCCTCCCCTTCTCCATGCCGGGACACCTTGCCCCAGGGCAGCCAGGCACCCCAGCTGTGCACCGCACCTTGCTCCCAGGGGTGATCAGGCTGCCTGAGAACTGCCCCTGCTTGGCCACACCTTGCTCAGGCTCATCTTGTTCCTTGCCATCAGCTTGGGTCCAGTTGCTATGTCCCACATGTTCAGGGCCAGCAGGTGCATGCAAGGAGGGGTATGAATCCTGGGTACTAAGTGGGGGCAGCAAAATAGGGGCAGAGAGTCAAGCCTTTGGCAGTGTAGGGCGGGAAGAAGTGGCTTTGGGGAGCTGAGACTACTGCTCCTACCTTTGGTGGATCGAGTCCAGGCTCCATGGCTAGATCTGAGCAAGAGGAAGACAGAAGAAGAAGAAAACAGCTGCCTTGAGAGTGCCTGGCCTTGCCCCTGGCTCCAACTCTGGCCACCTGTAGCCAAGCTTTTTTGCAACCTACTCCCTGCTGGGGGCTGATGTTAACTGCTTCTCCCCCTGACAGTGCGTGACCACACTGGAAGGCCATGAGAATGAGGTAAAGTCAGTGGCCTGGTCCCCATCTGGCAGCCTGCTGGCCACCTGCAGCCGTGACAAGAGTGTGTGGATCTGGGAAGGTGAGAGAGGCTGGGGCGTGGTGGTGGTGGCGGTGGCAGTAGGAGGGAAGAGGCCTCTGGCTACATCATAGTCCCCCAGCTAACCCTGTCCTCTCTGGCAGTGGATGAAGAGGATGAGTACGAGTGTGTGAGCGTGCTCAACTCTCACACGCAGGACGTCAAGCACGTGGTCTGGCATCCTAGCCAGGAGGTGAGAACCTGGTTGGCTACCCCAGGGGGTTTCAGCCTCTGCCTTCTGGGCAGGGGGGCAGGGTGAGAAAGGCTAGGGGGAAGGGGTCCAAACTGGCTGGATTGCACCCTGTCCCCTACATATCCCCCCCCGCCACTGGGTAGAAATAACCCACCTGAGACCCCAGCCTCACCCTTGCCTGCCAGCTCCTGGCCTCGGCTAGCTACGATGACACTGTGAAGCTGTACTGCGAGGAGGAGGATGACTGGGTGTGCTTTACCACACTGGAAGGCCATGAGTCTACCGTGTGGGGCCTGGCCTTTGATGGGGCCGGCCGGCGACTTGCCTCCTGCAGTGATGACCGCACCGTGCGCATTTGGAGCAGTGACGAGCAGGGTGAGCCAGGTATGGGCTGGGGGGTAGGGCAGTGACAACGACCCAGGAGTCTGGCTGGCTCATCTCCACTCTAAGGGCTGGTGAGGGTGTGACAAGGCCAGCACCAGCTCTGCTGCATTGGGGTGGCTAGATGGTACCGACAGGGCTATACCTGTCTCCCAGCTGTGTTGTGCTGTAAGCAGGGGGATGCTGGGAGCTGCTAGTTTCCAGATCAGCCTGGTGCACTGAAGCCCTGGGTGGTCTCCAGGGCTATGTCTGGGGCAGTGGCTTCCCATCCTGACTCTTTCTCCTGCCTCATAGGAGTGGCCTGTAGCAGCACGGAGCCCAGCTGGAAGTGCATCTGCACTCTCTCTGGCTACCACACCCGTACCATCTATGATGTGGCCTGGTGAGTTGGTCCTGGAGGGGAAGAACTCAGGTTGGGGCCACAAGTGGTTCTACGCTCTCCTTTCCCCTTTAGCATGGGAGCTGGGGGCATTGAGCCATGGGCAGCTGTTCCCATTCAGCCCTGAAAGCTTTTAGAACCAGGAGAAACCGACTTCCCTGTACCACCCCCACCTGTCTGGAGGAAGGCTTTCCTTTGGCTAACTTCTGGCAGGGGGTGGAAAGCAGAGCAGCAGATTGGGAAGGGAGTAACACTTGAGGGGGGCAAGTGGGAGTTACCTGGCAATCCCCACGGCACCAGCTCCTCTTCCCACAGGTGCCGCTTGACTGGTGCACTGGCCACAGCGTGTGGAGATGATGCCATCCGTGTCTTCGAGGAGGAGCCGCTGGCAGAGCCACAGCAGCCCACCTTTGCCCTGACGGCCCACGTGCCCCGAGCCCATGCCCAAGATGTCAACTGTGTGGCCTGGAACCCTGCTGAGCCGGGGCTGCTGGCCAGCTGCAGTGACGATGGGGAGGTGGCCTTCTGGAGGTACCAGCGCCCTGAGTGCTGCTGAGACCTCTCAGCCTGCTGCTCTGAGCTTGCAGATCCTGCCACTGGCTCTGTCTGCCCCACCCTGGGCTCCAGGCTGGGGCAACAGGAAGCATGGCAGATGCAGTCAGAGGACAGTGGCACAGCAAGGGATTGGGTTCTCTGCCCCTTGAAGGGGCCTCAAGTTACCCCGGTTGTGGGCAGCAGCAAGGCAGGGGTAGTGTAGCTCCCTCTGCTGCAGCTGTTGCCCTCATCAAATGGAGCCAGGCCACAATAAAAAGCCTCCCACATCCGGTCTGGCCTCTGCTTTATGCCCTGCCCTTGGTCCAGGGGGTACAAGATGCTGTAGTGAGCACTTGGAGGGTCCATAGATGAAAGCCCCCCAAAATCACAGCCCAGCCAGCAGCATAGGGGTAGGGGAAGAGGCTTCTGGGAGCTGGTGGCACCAAGTCAGGTCTGGATTTGGGTATAATGTAGCTGCCTCAGACAGAAGCAGCCAACAGCCTGGCTGGGGGCCCAAGGTCCCAAGCCCCAGCAGATGCCTGGCCCTGGAGCCGTCAGTGCTATCAAACTCAGGGCAGCTGCTGATTGGGGCCTTAGTTTTCCCTCTCCTTTTAAGCCAGGCCTCCTCCCATTAGTAGCCTTGCTAATGAGCTGCCCCGCCTTAGTCCAGGAAGCCTCAGCCTTAGCACCCTCCCCTTGCCATGGACCAGCTTTGTCAGCAGTTGGGATCAGCAGGGCTCACCCTTCATGGGTGGGCAGGGAGGGATCACCCAGCTGTCTGTTTTCATGTGCTGAGCCAGGGTCTAAACGAGGCAGCTGGACTGGGCTCAATATGACTGCTGGGGGTACATGGCCAAGGTGGTCCACTCCTCTCCTATTCAAGCAGGGTGGCTTTTAGGGGTCTGGCTTCTGCTTTCCTGGCAGAGGGAGATGTGTGAAAACACCACAAACGTGAACAACCAGCCATCACCTTTACCCAGCCCTAGCTGCTTTCACCCCCAGTACTTCATAGACCTGCAGTTATTTGACTGCTGCTGCCTTTCCACACTAGGGGTAATTCTCTCATGAGTCAGAACCATTAGGATTCCTTCCATCTCTACAGCCCTTGCTCCCATCTTGCTTTTTCATCCTCCTTCCCTACAACTCTAGTCAGGGTTGTAGTCAAGAGGCCAGGGAGTTAGAGTCATTGTTAGCTGGACTGATTGCAGTTAGCATAGCTTTTGGCCGTCAGTAACCAGCTGTTTCTTCCCAGGTCAGGAAGAAGCAGACAGCTGAGGCTTAAACAAAACTAGGGTGTAAAATCAGAAAAAGCAAATGGCCAGGAGTAGCTTAGAGGAGGAAAAGTTGCAGAAGAAAGGTTAGCTTGACTAGCAGAACATCAAGACTGTTAAAAGAGGAGCTGTGGAACAAAGAGAGTAGCAGGAATCCAGGAGATTGTGAGAGCTGTGAGCTCAGTGTCCATAGTCAGTCCTTGGTTTTTAGTGTCCTGCTTGCGAACATGTGTTCTCAGGCCTTGTAAGCACAGAAATCTGATTCCTGCTAATCTCTCTTCACTCCACTGGTGTGAATGATTCTCTCCCTTCTTCAGCAGCCTTGACAGTTCACTCATTGAGTTCTCCTTTCTCTTGCAATTTTCCTTTTTCTACACCTGGAAATGTTCGCTCCCATTTCACAGCCCTGAAGCCTGTTTCTAGCTCTAGTTCTGCCTCCTTCCTTAGATCTGAAGGGTGCCCAGGACTGGAAAACCCAACTGATGCTATCCCAACTGTGCACTCCATCCGACAGAAGACAGAATGCAGGGTAAATCTGCACCTTAAAGAATAACGAAAGAAGACTGTAGATCGCAAGCTTTCATGAGCAGAAGCTCACTTCATCAGATACTGTGAAAGACACGTATATTGGTCTAAAGTCAAGCAGAAGGCATGGTGTATATTTTGTGATAAATATAAATGGGTATCTGTATCTATAGAAATAGAGATAAACAGAACAAGACAGATATAGAGATATATTAAATATATACACAGATGTAACTAGAGACAGATATACATATACACAGATAGAGAGAGGTAGCTACATAGATGTAGATGGAGATACAGATTTAGAGATATCTGTTTATATTCCTGTCTTTTCTCATCTATCCATCTTAACTATCACAAGCTATACCATGGCCTTCTAGTTGACTTCATACCACCACTGCATGCTACACCCCAACAGAAGGTCACACACCCCAAAAGCTCTGTGCGTTATTTCCTGGTCCATCATAGCAATGAGTTCATTCCTCTCATTCATCTTTTTGACCCTGGTTTCACTCCCCCTCCAAGCTGGGCTGGATGCAGAGCACAAAGGTTTGCTCTTGGCTCCAGCTAGAAGGGCAGGTGAAGCAACAGAACAGGAGAAGATGCTTGAGAAGCAGCCCACAGGTGCCTGCCATGGAAGAGCTAGGTGGACCAAGCCACTGAGGTAGCACAGAGACTCCATCCAGACCATGCCATAATCTCTGATCCCACCGCAGCCCAACCCTACTCACCCCTCAGCCTGCCAGAGCCCCAAAGTGGTTCAACAGCTTTATTGAGGCCAGGGCAAGTCCTATTTGCCTCCCAGGTAAAAGAAACTACACACTATACAAAAGGATCAACTAAAACCCAGGAGAGGGAATGCAGGCAGGAGCTCCGCAAGGAAGGCTACAGGCCCAGTTACTTGTGGCTGGGCCTAGCTGCCAGCACAGAGGTTCACAGTTCTAGAGCAGGTGCACACAGCACAGGACAGCCTGATGTGTGCACCTCATTCCCTTTGGCCCACTGTAGCCCTCAGCCAGGTCCTGTGGCTGGCTATGTCCATGGCAAGAGTCCAGGGCTAGTCAGAGTCACTGTCGCTCTCAGCTTCCTTCACGTCCACGCTGAACTTGTATTCCTGGTCACAGCCCATGTAAGCATCACTCATGAAGTACAGTGTGTAATTGTGGGTGCCTGTGGCTGGGGCCACAAAATCCAGCTTCACCTGCATGGGAACACAGCAGCTGAGCGGGTGGCGGTGCTGTGGTGCACTGGACATGGAGCCAGGCTGGTGTCCCTGGCTCCCAGCCACAGAGATGTGGCTACCTCAGGCTACAGTTTATCCTGCTTCCCGTTCCACCGGCCCAAAGGGGGTCATCACCCCCCCACCCCCTTTCCCAGTCAGCAGCTGGACTCTGCCAGGGGCCCCAAGCCCCAGGGTTCTGGCCTGGGGTGCAGACCCAGGTCCCCCACCAAACCAAGGTCAGCCACAGTCGCATCTAGACTTCAGCTCCACAGCTTAGGGGGTATCAGCAGCATCCCTCTAAGCTGCGCACAATAAAAGATCATGCTGTGCAATAACTTTTTAACGCCGCAGCACACAAAGGTGTACTGATGGGGGGAGAGGGTGCGGCAGTAGGGGGCCTGGGGTGGGGGGATGCCCAGTGCTGTAGCAAGGGGGCACCAACACTCTTCCCTCCACTGGCTTCACGTCCGGCTGCTCGCCACCCACCCCAACCTGGGCACAGGCTGCTGCAGGCGTGGGGAGGGGCAGGCACACAGATACCTGTGCACTCCCAGCCAGGATTGCTCACAGATCGCTAAACCTGAGAGGGAACATTGAGGATCAGCCCCATGACCTTCCAGCCTGGGCGAGGTGATCACAGACCTCACCAGCCCTCAACGCCCACCTCACCTTGGCTTTCTGCTGCAGGGTCAGCCGCTTGATAGAGATGAGGCTGTTGGACTTGGAGTCACCGATCACCACCCACCAGCCCTCCTCACGCTTCTGCAGGTACAATGGGAGCAAAGGGGGCAGCTTTGGAACAGGCCTTGCCATGGCAGAGCGGTGTTGCCCACCCTCCCACACAGGGTCAACAGCGCTCCCAGGACAGGACCCAGAGTTGGGTCTCATCCCTGTAGCAGTCCCAGCCCCTGCCAGGGATTGCCAGCTCTGGGCAGAATCTAATTTGGACATACCTGAGGGAACAGGGGCGCAATGACTGGTCCCGTGACTTCCTCCTCTCTCTCCAGCTGCACCAGTACCACCACTGGGCCCCCACTGTGTGGCAGAGACATGGCTGTTAGGGCTGTCTCCAGTAGAGGTGGTGCCCGCTGCCCCAGCCTTCCCAACAAAACACTCACCTGCGGATGCTGTCCTTCTCCACAACCTCATAAGACAACTCGATGTTGGGGTAGCGATTGCAGAAGCGGGCCACGTCAGCAATCTGGGCATCTGAGAGCTGTAGCAGGGCATTGCGCTCCTCATCCTCCATCTCCATTATGTCAAAGACACTCTCCACACCCTGCAGGAGACATGTGCAGCCCAGGGGAAGGGGAGGGGGTCAGCTTGCCATGCCCAAGCCCGCCCCAGCCCCAGCTGCTTGGTGAGCTCCACAACATCAACATCAAGGAAACATGGCTCTGCTCCCGATGGCTGCTGGGACCCAGCCATCTCCTCCATGTTCTCACCTTCTCTGTGCAGCGCTTGATGTGTTCAGCTGTGAAGTGCGGCAGCTGCTTGAGGTACGAGTCCTTGGACCACATGGCCTGGGTGACCATCTGCGCCAGCTCCATAGCAGCCAGTGCAGGGCTGAGCCACCCATTACTGGACAGCACATCCACACAGGCCTGGATGAGGCGGATGGCCTGAGGGGCAGGGGAGGAAGCGGGGGGTCAGGGTGGGGGCTCTTGGGCTGTCCTGGCTTCTACCATCCACTCTAGCTGATCCCCCCCACTTGCCCCGGCAAATCCACACAAGAATAGACCCCCTTCCCGCATTCAGTTCATACATTTTAGCCTAGCTCCACCACAATGCCATTCATACCATCCTGGCCCCCCAACTCCCCTGCATCCAACCCAAGCTGGACCCTCCCACCCAGCCTGGCCCTACCATATCCACCCACACCACCCTGGTCCTACCAGACAATCCCAGCCACAACCACACACATAGCCGCTGCCAGACAGCCAGCCACAGCCAGACATGCACCTTGCTGAGAATCTCCTCAGTGTCGGATTGCAGCTCAGCACTCAGCTGCATGTGGGACAGGTGGGCCTGCAGCAGCAGGTTGGTCTTGACGTGGGGGTCATTGAACTTTGGGTTGGTCAGTTTGTGCGGGACCTTCTGCGCCAGCTGCCATTGGAAAAGGGGGGGAACAGGTCAGGCTGAGCCCCTGGGAGGGCTGGGGCCATGCCTGCCCTCCACAGCCTCTATTCTCACCCCCGTCCCCTCCTGAGAAGCTGAGTCGTACCTACAGCTCCCAGCACTGCTTCCTATCAGGCCCCACCTCCCCACTAAGGCTGCCCATGACACCCAACACTGCCACCTCTCCCCTCTGCACCCCAACCCAACCCAACCCAACCCAGTTAGGGCAGGCAGCTGCAGCCAGATTCCAGTCATCCCAAGACTTACCTGCCGCAGGAGATTGTCCTCGTGGTGTCGGATGGGGATATTTTCATATTCAGCGGCGTTGGAGATGATCTCAATCAGGCCCCGCACCTTGGTCTTGGCATTGAGTGACATGCTGAAGAGCTCTGGGGGAGGCAATGTGGGGGGGGTTAGGCCACACACACGCACCCTGCCCCTGTCCAACCCCACTACCCATAGCTGGCAGGCATGGAGCCCCAGGCCCTACCAATGGTGGTGTAGTTGATGTAGTAGTAGGCTGCAATCATGCCCAAGTTGAGAGGGGCCACGTCCATCTCGTCCTCAATGCTGATGCACTTGGACTGCTCCAGGTCACTCAGTGTCTGCTCCACCAGCTCCGACAGGTGGTCCGAGAGATGCCGATGAGAGACGCCTGCAGACAGAAAGTCAGAGATGCTTGTTGCCCTGCTAGGATCTTTGGCTGGGATGGTGAGGACAGGGCCAACTGCAGTCAGGAGTGCATTGGAGGCCATGGTGGAAGTGCCTTCATCCCATGAGGGTGGGCAAGAGCTCTGGGGAGCCCCATACAGAGAGAGCTAGCGAGGCCAGGCTCTGTGGCTGTGCCAAGGTAAATCAGGGACCAAGGACTTTAGTGTTTGACTGGAGTAGCACAGAGACACCATTAGCTGTGTCAGCCAGAAGTCAAATAGGAAGCAGGGAACATTTACAACCCTTAGACTAACAAAATTGTATGCACCCCCCACCATGTGCACATGTATACATTCACATGCATGTGCATATATGTGCATGTACACACATATTGTGTGCGTGTACACACCCACATATATACATGTTTGAATGGTGGGTATACATAAATATATGCACATGCATGTATGCACGTGTGCGTGCATGCATGTGCATGAGGGGTGTGTGTATTATGTATATGTATACACACATACATGTATGGCAAGTAGGGCTGTGCAAAGCTTCGGTCCACTATTTGATTTGGAGAAGATTTGGCCCAATTTGGAAGCCAAATCTCTGAATCCAAATTGAATCGGGAGAAGCAAAAAAAAAAAACAAAAAAACAAAAAAACAAAAAAACCCCAAAAAACTGAATTAATTCAGAGTCTATGAATTGATTTGGAAAAGATTTGGAGATGGTCTTTCAGGGCAACAGAAACTGAGAAGACGGAGAGGGAGTGGGGGGTGGGGGGGAAGGACTGATATCTGTAGCTGACCAGTAACTGTGATCTCTCCCTGAGTCCCCTTCCAATCATAGTGCTCTGAGGGAAGAACATAGAAACAGTATATATAAGCCTCTGTCTTTCTGTGCCTTGTGTGAGCTGTTTCTGCCTGAGCAACAGTGTCTGAAAAGTACTGGACTGGCTTGGTTTCCTAGTCAGTCTCCTACTACTTTTTGCTCTTGGAAAGGATTGGATATAGCTTAGCTTACTAACTAGAATCCCTCTACTTATCCCTATCCAATCCATTTATTTCAATTTATATTTTTTCTTGGGTTTTTCCCCCCAAACTTTTTAAGAAGAAAGCTGTGTTTTCCCTGGCAGTGTGATCCATCACTGTGCAGGGAAGCACACATTACACACGCATCATAGTAGAAGAGGTAGTTAGGTATTATTACAACACATAAGAAGTTACACATTCATAGAAGAGATTAGATATAGTTATTAGTATTGTTAGTTATAGTTATTAGTTACATATAGACTAAAAACAACACGGAAGAAGTCAGATTAACACAACACAGAAGTTAGATTCTCAGTCATAGAAGAAGAGATTATTTTAGTTACACAAGGAACAGTAAACACAACACAGAAGAAGTTCCAGATTCAGACTAACATAACAGAAGTCAGGCACAGAAGAAGAGATCAAATTATATATAGTTATTATTATTAATCATACTTACAGTTACATTACAGACAATACAGGAGTCAGATACAGATTAACATGACAAGTCACAGTCGTAGAAGAAGAGGAGAATAGATATTTTAGGCACGCTACGTAACAACACAGAACAGGCAGAAGTATAACTCTTTCTATACTAGGCAGAGAAATCTATGTATTATACAATGGAAAACTTGATGACTGGCAGTGAATAATCTGGAAAGGAAAGGTTAGCTTTAGTTTGGAATGACAGAACTGCTCGTTAGATGCACACAAA